GAGTGAGATTGAGTGAGATTGAGTGAGATTGAGTGAGATTGAGTGAGTGAGTGAGTGAGTGAGTGAGTGCGTGCGTGCGTGCGTGCGTGCGTGCGTTCGTGCGTGCGTGCGTGGGTGGGTGGGTGAGTGAGTGAGTGAGTGAGTGAGTGACAGTGAGTGAGGATATAAGTCATATATACGGGGTACTATGCTACCAGAGCTTAAAAGCTGCACAAAAGACTTCAAGGGCACTTTCCGACTGGTCGCAATGCCAAGCAATCAATTCTTCAGATGGAACAAAAGCTCCACCGGTTTTGTGAGCTGCCAGCCCTTTTCGCTGCTTTTCCAGGCGCTTACACCTGCCAACCCGGACTACTGAAGTATGAGTGAGGATAGACTCTGACACAGATTGACACTGTTGAAGAAAAATCCTGTAGCAGCTCCCAATCAAAAGACACATCCGGCCTTTGGGGAAAAAGGACTTGTGTTTTTTGTTTTCATTGTGCTTTTATTCGGCCTTTTCTGATCAGGCCTTGTGCAACTTGATGGAAACAAGCTGCGTGCCTTTGGAACCTCACGAACACCGGACAACTCCAGACAGGATGTCCGTTGAGCTGATCGCAACGAACACGAGATGCTGAGCCGTGGTCTGGAACCAGCGCTGCTCGACCTGGTTGGTCCAAGACCGATGCAAACACCGACGTCGAAACAGCGTTCACGAAACATGAAATCGAATTTCATTTGGATATGTCTCAGCATCGATGTACGCACCAAATGGATTATATGATCTTATGTTGCCCTTTCTCAAAAACTCCCTTCTTTGAGACCCATTGAACTTTGAACTGTCTCATCTTGCTGGTAAAGCCGCCTCTGGACAAAGTCACCATCCAGGAGGGCTTTCATTTTCTGGGCCTTGCTCCACGGGCCGGCAGCTGGCTGTCCAAGAGAGAGATGCAATCTATTCATCCACTGAATACACAGGCCGACATGCCCCTGTCACATCCACTCACGGAACCGGCATGGAATCTATTCATGCCACTCATGTCTTCAGGCTCGTACCCACTCGTTGACGCTCGTTTCGCTTCGTTCCTGGCTGAGCTCGTTCTTGCAACAAGGCAAAGACTCACTATATGAGAACTCTGAGTGACAAGTCACCTTCGGTGTGTTTTTCTCTTCACCCACATCGGCCTTCACTGCGTCACCTCAGTCCACAGTTCGTTCTCTTCGCCGTTCCCAAAAAGGAACGAGTCCGACGTGGTGAAGCGAGCGACCCGGGACCCGTTCGGTCTCCCGGTACGGCTCAACGCGGAGCTCCTCCGTGGTACGGATCCGGTCGATGAGACGGTCGGGTTTCGCCGTTCTGCGGTCCACGCCCGAAAGAGAAGACGGAGACCTCGGGAGTCCAAGAACACGAAGTCGCCGATGTGGTCATGGTGTGTTGAAGTAGGAAATGAATGGTTTCAACATGACAGGTATACATTGCTACATTGCCCTGTGGTTCTCCTTAAATCCAAGTCCGATCACATGTCACTGGGCGCGACGTTTTACATGCGACGTAGTTCTCATCTGGTTGCTACAGACTACAAAAAGGTTTGGAAATGCAGGAGGAGGGCATTTGAATGTCTTTTTGGGGAGGTCATTAAGGCAGGTGCTCAGCAAACGTATGTGTTCTCGCAGGCTCCGACCTGGCGGAAAGCTGGCTGACTCAGAGACTCTTGCTGAGGATGCTGAGGAGGGAGCTTGATCTTCTTCAACCAGTCCTCAAAATCGACAATGGACCAGAGATGGGAGAGTTTTCCGCAGGAAGAGTCAGACATCCTAATAGCTTTAAAACCGTTTTTTCCTGCTCCTTTTTGAATGTCAAAGCAGTGTAGCAGTGTAGCAGGATGTTTGTTGATTTTGTCCAGAATAAGTTCTGCTCGTTGCACTTTTCAGGGGCCAAGTTGCGGAGTCAGAGAAGGACTTGCTTGTCTCAGCCTTGGGCCTCCAAAACGCCCGCGAAGGCGTTGGCGCGGTGATCGAAGCAGCGCAACATGCAAACCACGAGTACAATGATTTATTGGTCCAGCAAAAGACTTCAGGACTTGGTCACAAGTACCAGTACTCGAGGTGTTGTTTTGCAATTGTTGAAGGACCAAGTCTTTTAAACCAGGCGGTCTGAGGGTGTCAAAAAGAATAAAAACATATTAAATAAGATGAAAAAGCACCTGTTCATCATGTTTCCCCAATTTTTCGGTTCTAGGCACCAAAAACATGCAAACACGCATGCCCCACGACCCCAATCGACCCGCCCGAAGGGCTCTTTGCCGCTTCGTGGCTCTTCCGCAGCTCCTTCCTCTTCGGTCCTTAGGACATCGACATCGGTCAAAGCGCTGAAACCGCAGCGGAAACCGCAACAGACGCTGGTGAGCTCCCTGCATGTACCCAGCGGACAGCCCCACGGACATCGGAGACAGCCCCACGTGGGTCTCCTCGCCGCGACGCGGCGTCGGGTGGCGTCGGGTGGCGGGACACCCAACTCCGTTGGTCGCCAAAGCGGCATGGGTCGCCAGATCCCGAGCGAGAACGAAGCCTATCAATGCAACGAGGGAAAACTGAAGCAAACCCAAATCGGTCAACAGGCTGAAGCAAGAAAACCGCCGGACACCAAAGCCGAACCAAACCCCGAAGTCAAGCCCTAAGCCAAACGCAAAGACACCCCAAAGAGGTGAAGCCTTAAGCCAAACCCAAAAACACTGCCCCCAAAAAAGATCGCCCCAAGCCAAGCCCAAAGAAACCCTAAAGGACTGAAGCCGCAAGTCAAACCCAAAGACACCCTCAAAGAAGTGAAGGACACGGACGCTAAGCCCTGTTGCAGGGTAACTAGTTGATTCGTCGTCGCTGATTCGCGGTCGCTGATTCGGAGTTTTCTCAGCGGGACCCCCCACCAGGCCTAGCTGCCTGGCCTAGGGTGCCAATACGCACCAGACTGCATTGGCTTGATGCGCTTGCTTTGGTATGACTACTGGCTAGACCAAAGGCTTCAGAAGTGCAAACAGAGCTTTGATTGGAAAATCTCTGTACTGTAAGAGGGAAAAATGAGATCTGCCAAGTCCCCGCCAACACATGTATTCGCGGCGCGACCAGCAGTCCAGAGGCTTTCTCCGCTGGAACTCCTGCGAAGGAAATCACATACAGATACAACAAACGCAACAGCTTCGGTTGAACTTTACCAGGGTGTGGTCGGTCGGCCTCAAATATGACCAGTGGCTACTCGTGTCTGTTTCAAGGAGAAAAAGCAGCGCACAACCCAGGCACAAAGCAAGAGAGGTTAAGTGACCGTAAATAGGACCCTACTGGGGTACGTACCTATTGGATACTCTATGTCTATAGGGTTCTTCAACCTGATGGAAAGAAACATCTACAAGTTTGCGGCCTCAGCTCCGCCAGAGGTCACGATGATCTTCGCTGCCTGAACAACTCTTGCAAAAACAAAAGCTCAAATAGGGAGACCTCCCAGGCAACGAGGAAAATAGACCAGTCTACCCAGCCAATCCCAGCCAGGGTGTCTCACTCTTTTTCAACACGAACCCATATATACAGATCAAAAGGATGGGGGTTCCGAGAATCCACCGTGCGTCCTGAGAATCCACCGTGTGCAGCAAACGACCAGCTGATGTGTTTTCAACTAAACCAACGACCGGTACAACCTGGCTAAACTGCTCCACCGGTCACCGGAAAGCCTTCTTCGGCATCGGACGTGGCGGGAGGACATGACTTGACGGCACACCTCAAACTCGTCCAGAGCATTCTGCTTGGAGACAGCGAAGCCAACAGATGGGCCTGACTTGTCATAGATCGTGACCTGAAAGCACAAGATGTCTCGGTCGAAGTTCCAGGTACTTCTGCAGGACTCGGCCATGACTTGGATTGGAGGTCACCAGGCACTACAAAAGACCAGAAGTCTTCTGGTGTACTACCTGCCAGATCCTGGATTCTGGAGCGTCAACGTTGAAGGGCAAGACGGTTTGCACTCAGCACAGCACATATATGAACATCATGTATTAATAATGTATCTAACACGTCGACCGCAAGGTCTTCACCGGTCTTCCACCATGTTTCATTGAAAGAGAATTTCAGCCGTCTGAGCTTGCCACGAAGCGTCTTAAGAACGGATCGCCGAAAATGAAGAGAGGCCCCTGTCCGCCAGCGAAGGCACGGACTCCGACTACGGGACCTCACCGTCCGTCTCGCGTCCGCGGTCGGTCGGTCGGTCGGGGGCTCGCACCCGTGGTGGTGGGACATCCAAGGGCATCAGCGAGAAGGAGCATCCGCTCTCATCTCGGTCCTCACGGTCGTCGAAGCTTCAAACGGGCGACGGCGACGGTTTTGGGTCTTCGGGGTGGAGGCGGAGGCGGAAGTGAGGGGTGGGAGATCAAGACGGCGTAGTCGACGGAGCCAAATCGACTGTGTAGCCAGGTGAGCGAATGACTGAAGCCACTTTCGTCCTCCAAATCGGCCGAGCTTCATTCATTGTGTTCTGAAAACTCGAACCCAATGGAACCCTGAAAAGTGTTCGATTGATCCACAGGAAAAGAGACATGTTGTCATGACCAGTTCCCCTGAAATGTTCTCTTCATGTCGTTCTCTGGAGGTGGAGGTGACGACTCTGGACTCTGGACCTCCGAAGTCGGCGAATGTTCATGAGCTCACATGCTTTTGAGTGATAGCGTGGTCGGTCCAAACAGTAAAAAAAACAAAACAGAAACAATTGGTCGGTTCCAATATGGCAATTGAAATTCGTTACATAGAAAATGGCTGCTTGGGGAAACATCCATTTCTTTGTGGCTGGGACTGGGGTTCCAGGAGCATCTTTTGCCGTTTTCAGGAAGGGTCCCTTGTTCAGTCACCGAGACCCTTATCTTCCGACTCTGCTCGTGTCCGAGGACTCTCAGGGCAGGGCGTCAGAACACACCAGCCGGACAGCCCGGCAACGTTCGGTCCCCCCTTGCACAAGGTCGTCGTCGGTGTGTTTACACCGCATGAAAGTCGTCGGATGCCGCATGCCCTTCGTCTGTGCGGATCAGAAGGCGCCACCAATCCCGGCATCCGCAGAGCAGAGCAGAGCAGAGCAGAGCAGAGCAGAGCAGAGCAGAGCAGCGCAGAGCAGAGCAGAGCAGCGCAGCGCAGCGCAGCGCAGCGCAGCGCAGCGCAGCGCAGCGCAGGGCAGGGCAGGGCAGGGCAGGGCAGGGCAGGGCAGGGCAGGGC